GCCCGACGGCGTCGCGGCGCCGTCGGGGCTGGGAAGCATCGAACCGAGACCCGAGATCGCCTCCCCGAAAGGAGGAGGAACGAGTGGACGTTGACGCCTTTCGGCCTCCTTGGGCCCCCCAGAGATTCCATGAAATCCTGGTCAGGATGCGCCCTCCCAGACCGACGTCTGGGAGGGAAGGGAGGCGGACCATGAGGGAGATGGGGATGAGGACGAGAGTCTCGCAGCCGTGGGGTGCGAATCAACCGTTTCAAGAACGTTCAGGAGCCCTCTGAGGCAGTGATCGTGTGGGCATACAATTCTCTGACTGCTGTCGGTCCAGCGCTTCGTGCTCAAGTGCCCCCGTCTGGCTTTTTCCTTTATCTTCATTCACCTCCTCCCCCTCTTCCTTCATCCTTGCCCTCGTCCTCCTCCTCCTCCTCCTCCTTCTTTCCCAACCCCCCTGCGTTTGGTACTCGAGTTGAATAGAGCACTGCGGTCGCACACCTTCTCCCGCCTCCCTCCGCTCATCCCTCCTACTCGCTTGCTACCCTGCCTCCTATCTCGTCGTCCTGCCTGGATGCTCGGTGGGGGGCTGAGATCTGCGAAACTGTCGGTGGTTCCTTCGAGGGCTGCTGCGGGGTCCAGCGGAGTTACGTGGTACGCAGATCTAGATTCGACCTCGCCATCTCTAAGGGGCTGCGATGTGCGACACTGTCGCCACTTTTGATAGCTGCTGGGGGGTCCAGCGGGGTGACGTGCTACGCAGATCTAGATTCGACCTCGCCATCCCTGTGGGGCTGCGACCTGCGAAACTGTCGCCACTTTCGAGGGCCTTTGCAGGTTCCAGCGGAGTGAGGTGGTACGCAGATTCAGATTAGACCTCGCCATCCGTGTGGGGCTGCGATGTGCGACACTGTCGCCACTTTCGATAGCTGCTTCGGGGTGCGGCGACGTGCTACGCAGATTCAGATTCGACCTCGCCATCCCTGTGGGGCTGCGATCTCCGATCTGATCGCCGCTTTCGAGAGCTGCTGGGGGGTTCAGCGGAGTGACGTGGTACACCCTCGCCATCCGTGTGGAGCTGCGATCTCCGAAATGATCGCCATTTTCGAGAGTTGCTGGGGGGTTCAGCGGAATGACGTGTTACGCAGACTCATATTCGACCTCGCCATCCCTGCGGGGCTGCGCTGTGCGAAACTATTGCCACTTTCGAGGGCTGCTTGGGGGGGGCCAGCGGAGTGACGTGGTACGCAGATTCAGATTAGACGTCGCCATCAATGTGGGGCTGTGCTGTGCGAAGCTGTCGCAACTTTCGAGGGCTGCTGGGGGTCAGCGGAGTGACGTGCTACGCAGAGTCAGATTAGACCTCGCCATCCCTCTGGGGCTGCGAACTGCGAAACTGTCGCCACTTTGAGGGCTGCTTGGGGGTCCAGCGGAGTTACGTGCTACGCAGAGTCAGATAAACCCTCGCCATCTCTAAGGGGCTGCGATGTGCAACTGGGGCTGCTGGGGGGTCCAGCGGAGTGACGTGGTACGCAGACTCAGATTCGACCTCGCCATCAATGTGGGGCTGCGCTCTGCGAAACTGTCGCCACTTTCGAAGGCTGCTGGGGGGTCCAGCGGAGTGACGTGCTACGCAGAGTCAGACTAGACCTTGCCGTTTTTAGGGGGCTGCGCTGTGCGAAACTGTCGCCACTTTCGAGGGCTGCTTGGGGGGGTCCCATGCCGAGGTCCTGACGTCCACGGCCTGCCAGGGCCGCTCCATGCACCGAGGTGTCATTGTCGACGCCGGGTGCAAGGATGAGAAGAACACGGGCGACCTCTGGCTGCATCTTTACCCAATGCTGACCAGGGCGACGACCGTGGACAAGCTCACGGTGTTGCGCGACCCCGGTGTTGCGCGACCCCGACCCCGACCCCCGCGGGCCGCCCGCAGACCTGGCGGCGCGCCTGCGAGCGTTGAGCTCCCGCACTGAAAGGTGCAGGAAGGAGGCAGAGACACTGGCGGGCGAGCTAGGCCTCGCTCGCTTCTTGCAGTGTCGTCGTCGTCGTCCGCTTCCCCCTGTCATCTTCTCTCTGCTGCTGCCGCGCTGACTGTTCGGCCCCGCTCGCGTCCTTCTCCTGTTCTTCGGTCCCACCCCATGTCCTTTCCGAGCCTGGGCCCTCGCTCCTCGGGTATCTATCGTTGTCTTGTAAGTCGTGCCGCGTGCGCGCGCCTGCGCGCATGTGCCCCATGTGACGGCGCCTGCGCTGTCATTGTCCATGTCAGTCTAGGCCAACTTCTCTTGTCCCTCGATGCAAATGGGTTGGGTGCGTCGCAGGGTGATCCATCGTCCTTGTCCAGGGGTGCATTCTGGCACGAGATTCGAAGAGGATCCAGCCTTGGCGACGAGAAGCCTCCTGGAGGTCCACTCGTGGCGAAAAGCCCATACACACCGATCCTCGCACCTCGATGTCCCCCGCCTCTCTTTCGCCATCCCTCTCCTCCTTGCTCGCCTTTTCCCTCCTCCCTCCATCCTCTTCCTCGCTCCTCGGACCTGGCGGAGAGGTACGCCATGTGCCTCCAGCAGCACGGCTGCTGGGAGGCGGCCACCGAGCGGCCGTCGGGGAGGACAACATTGGGACGATGATGATGATGATGATGATGATGATGATGATGATGATGATGCTGATGACGGTGCTGATGCGGATGATGCTATTGATGGTGATGATGATGGTGATGAGTCTGCTAATGATGAGGATCACGGTGATGACGGTGGTGATGATGGCGATGGTGATGTTGATGACGGTGATGCTGGTGATGCTTGTGATATTGATCATGATGTTGTTGCTGATGTTGCTGCTGATTATGATGGGGATGACGGTGAGGGTGCATACGATGATGATGATGCTGATGATTGTGCTGAAGACGTTGCTAATGCTGATGCTGGTGATAATGGTGATGACTATGATGAGGCGTATGATGATGCTGTGATGATGGTGATGGCTGTTGAGGATGATGACGGTGACGACGATGGCGACGATGGTTGTTGTTGATGATGCTGATGACGATGATATGCTGACGATGATGAGGTTGATCATGATGCTGATGATCATGATGCTGATGATCATGATGCTGATGATGCTTATGAAAATGATGGCGACGACGATGACGATGATGGCTTGACGACGGCGCTGACAATGACAATGATGATGACGATGAAGATGCTGATGATGATGCTGATGATGCCGATGATGATGTGATGATGATGCTGCTGATGATGATGATGATGATGATGATGATGATGATGATGATGATGATGCGGTTGCTGATGCTGACTCTGATGATGATGACGCTCAAAAAATGCCTCTGACGCTGCTGATGATGCTTCTGATGGTGCCGATGCTCAGGATGATCATGATGATGCTGCTGCTGATGATGATAGTGACGATGCTGCCGCTGCTGCTGCTGCTGATGATGACGATGATGATGATGATGATGATGCTGATGATGATGATGATGATGATGATGATGATGATGATGATGATGATGCTGATGATGATGATGATGATGATGATGATGATGACGATGACGATTAGTGATGATTGTGATGCTGATGATGATTCTGCTGACGATGATGCTGCTGATGATGATTAGAGCCGGGGTGCAGTATTCCCAAACAGGGTTTTTCAGCCCAATGCGGTTTCCAAGGTCGATTGCGTGCCCGTCCAGTGCGGGCTGGCATGGCATGTCAGAACATGATCGGAGGTTGGGGGGTGAGATCGCAGTGAAACGGAGACCCCCCGCCAGAAAATCGGTTTCGGTTTCGTGCTCGTGTCGTGTGTGCGGGCGAGGCGAAGCTGCGCGTGACCCTCCTGTAGCTAGGCCGAAGTAGGAGCGAAAGTCCGTTCCCGTCCGCCGGTGGCTGGGAGGTGTTGTGCAAAATAGGTGGTGGATGCCCCTATTCCGCCGCCGGTAAGCCTCTATATGACGCTAGCGCACCAACTATTTTCTCCGAGCGGGGACTCCGAGCCGGAGGTCATCCCAGGGCATACATACGGTTTGGTCGGGCCTCTCTGGCACGGGGGATCCGCCCCTTCAGCAGAGTGGCCGCCCGCTCCATTGCACGCCAACTTTCCCCTCCTTTCCTCGTCTCCCTGTTTTTGGCGGGGGCCTGACTTTGGGCTTTCGCCACTCCGGACCGCCCGTTCCCAGAGATTCCGAGCTATCGCTGTTGCTTGTGGTAGATTGTTGGAAGACTTTTATCCCACAAAGTGGGATCACGCATGTTGACGCTTGCGCCGCCATGTGTCTCGAGATCCTTGGAGGCTTAGCGGCAACGCCGCCTCCAGGGATGGATTGGCTCAAGGCTCAAGGCGAGCCGATCGGGCAACATTTTGTCTTACACGCTTCCTGTACGCACTGTTGGGGCGCCAGTACGCACAATTGTTCTATCGCGTCACAAACAAACAAACTCTAGGTCGGTAGCTTCAGGGCAACTTTCGCTGTGTCGCTGCACTTTGGTCATGTGTCTCAAGATCTCTGGAGGCTTAGCGGCGACGCCGCCTCCAGGGATGGGTTGCAATGTAATTAGCACTCTAGGTTTGCAGCTTCAGGCCAACTTTCGCCGTGATGCTGCATTCTTGGCTCAAGACCCGAGATGCGGAGCCCTGAGAAAAAAGGACTCTTCCGTCCCTGCCGTGGTTAAGCGAAGGAGCGAGTCTCAGCGGCGACGCCGGCTCCTCCGCCGCCTGGCCACGTCAGCGGACACCCTCCTCCGGCTGCGCCTCGGCCTGCCGCAAAACCCTGACATACAACATAGCCTTCCTTTCAGCCCTACCAAGACCCAGAAGCTCCTCACGTTACTGGCCTCCCGGGTCCCCTTGCAGGCCACTGTAGCTGACCATGGCGAGTAGCTCATCAGCGCCTCTGCCTCTCCCAGCTCCGCCGCAACCGCAGAGCGAGACCCAGCCCATGACCACACAGGCGATACCCAGTAGACCCGGTCAGGCTGCTGAGGTTATCAGCCGAAGTGCTGATGCGGCTGGAGCTGGAGACCTGGATGAGACATTGGATTATGAAGAGCTTGACGCTACTCTGGACTACGACCACCAGCTTGCTGGAAGCCCAGAGCTCGACACCACCCACGACTACAGTGAGAGGGCGAATGCAGCCCATGCAGTCGTCGGGCGAGCTCCCGACGGGTCTGTCCCTGGTGCCCCAGAGCCTCTCCCAGAAATACCCGCACAAGCACTAGTGGACCTTCGTGGGCTTGGGCTCCAAATTCCTGCCGAGTTTGAGCCGGCGTCGGCATACCGGCCGCAGGCCAACGGCCAGGCCGAGCACGGGCATCACCGTCTGCGTGCACAGGTACTTCAACAAGCTGAGCCAGCACTTCTCGACAGGAGCCGCGATCGCGGCCGGCCCCAGCGAGCCCATGATGCTGCCGGATATCATCCTGGTGATCGCGATCACGGTGCGCACCTTGACGCCCAGGTTGTTCAGCGCGCCCCGGAGGCTCCTGCTCATGCCCACGAGTCTGGGACCATGGAGGCTGACGGACTCGCAGCGGCCCCCGAGGTCGTCATGGACGAGAACGAATTGGAGAGGAGGGCCATGGCGCATGAGGAGGTCCTGGAGGCGCAGATGATGCTAACGCTTTCGGCCCGCACCGAGGCGATGACCGCCCGCGCGACCGACATCGCTCGAGCAGAGCAGGCTGAGATGAGGGATGAGCTTGTCGGCGCGCTCATGCGCGCCGAGGCTCAGCAGGACTCCGTCCGCTCCGAGTACGCGGCGCGCCTCTTGGATGCTGAGCAGCACCTCGACGCCGCAGCAAGGCAGAGGATCAACGACGTCGTGGAGACGGAGGCCGAGGAGCTCATCGCTGCCGGCCGCCGCATGCATGACGAGCTGGCCGCCCGCACTGCCCAGTTGAATGTGGCCAACCTGGTCCATCTTGGACAGCTCCGGGAGGTCAGTGAGCAGGCCGAGTCTTCGATTCGGGCTGCGAGGCGGGCCGAGGCCGAGGTGAACGCCAACCCCGAGTCCGCCATCAACTCACTCAAGGCGGAGGCGCTCCAGGCCATCACCGATGCCCAGGGCGCGGCGGCGGCAGCTCGGGACGCCGAGCAAGCTGCCCATCGCGCGGAGTCCCGGCAGGCGCTCCGCCTCCGCCAAGCCGAGTCTCGATTGCACTTGGAGGCCTCCGCGGTCTCTGAGCTCCGCGCGCAGCGCGCTGAGGCAGCTGGGCTCTGTGCCCAGGTCGTGGTCCGAGCGGCCAAGCTGGCGGACTACGAGCGGGATTTCGCTGCCCTTCGAGCTGGTGCCTAACACGTCATTGACGACTCCGGGCGCAAGCTCAGGAGGCTGGGCAAGGACCACGAGGCCGTCGAGCACGCACTCCGCGACAGGCTCATGGTCGAGACCCGAGCCGCCGAAGCCGAGGGGCAGGTGGCTCGCGCAGAATTCCAGTGCGCTGCCAACTGGCGCGCGCCGGCGGAGGCCTCTGAGCGCCGACGTAGCCCGCCGCCTGGACTTGAAGCGCGTCGCCAAGTTCCTGCAGTTGGTGAAGGTGGTGCTCCTCCCCGTGAGCCGCAAGCTGGCGCGGGAGCTTGGCCTGCTACTCATCCCGAACGTCTTCTTGGAGACCAAGCCCGGGCTGCCGGCGCGAGTGCACAGCGCGAGTCCATCGAGGGGCAGTTCGGCGAGCAGCGCGCGTACAATTTCATGCTGACAGGGCGGGCTCTCGACGCCTCTGCCCTGGTCGCGCTGGGATCGGCCGCGATCGCGCCGCCGCCGCGCCCGCCGCGCCGCCACCGCGCCCACCCGGCCGGGGCTGCGGCATGAGCATGGGCCAGATGCTCGCGCAGACCGCCGCAGCGTCAGCCCCCGGCGGCAGCCGGCCGCCATCAGAGCCCGGCGCAGCGGGGGGCATTCATTCGCTCCTTCCGCCTCGCCGCCCGCCCGGGCCGCCGCCGCCGCAGCGGCGGCAGCGGGTGGGCGGGCGACCGCCGGATGGACCTCCAGACGGCGGACCTCCTGATGATGGCGGTCCTGGGGACGGGTGGAACTTCGACGGCTATGACTTCAACGCTCCTTGGAGTGGAGCTGCAGCCGCCGCCGGGGCGCGGCAGGCGCACATGCGCTCTGCGTCGCTTTCTTCGTCCAGTGATGAGGGCGACATTCGGCGGAGGAAGGGCGCGGTGAAGGAGCTGAAGCTCGACCCGAGCCCGCAGGCTTCTGGGCCACGGCGAAGGATCCAGAGCTTGTGCTCGAAGGTCTGCGCGGCCTCCAAGCGCTCTAAGCGCAGAACCCTCCGCTGGCTGCAGCTGGCTGAGGACCCGGCGGTCACCTGGGAGCGGCTCGAGCACCTCTCGTCCGTCCAGCGCAAGTGGGGCGACTTGGACACAGCGCTGGCCGACTCCACCTTGCAGTTTGCCACCGTTTCCCTCGAGCGCCAGCTCTTGACCTACCAGGGGCAGTTGACGGCGAGGGGGCACCCCCTTTCGGGTCGATGTGCGCTCAAGATGTTCTTCGAGCAGTTCCGCATCGAGTCCGGCCAGAAGTCGAGCATCGACGTCACCACGTTCGTGAACTTGAGGTTCCACGGCGACTTGGAGGCGTACCTGGACATGCTGGACTACATCCTGATGGGCCTCACCCGGCAGCCAGACGAGGAGCTCATCGTGGCAATCGTCGAGCCGCAGCTTCGACTATGCCGTGACCTCGCACCGACCTTCGTCGCCTTCGACGGCGCCGAGGAGGGCTCCGAGGAGCGCGCTATCTCTTGGCCATACAACCGCGCCTGGCGCGAGGTGGCCAGGGAGAAGCGAGTGGCGGCCTCCAAGCAGCTCCAGGACGCAGTGCCCAAGAAGATCGCCGCCCCAGGAGCTGGCAAAGGTGGCAAGGGGGACACCGGCAAGGGCAAGGATACACGTGGGTTTGCATCCTCTTCCGGACCAACGGCTCTTGCCGCTTTGGGGACAGGTGCAGATGGTCGCACGACCCCAGTGCGCCGATGCCACCAGCTGGCATTGGCGAGAAGGCCAGGACCGAGGCTGCAGCTGCCACGTCGAAGGCTGCCGCAGAGCCCAAGGCCAAAGCTACCGCCAAGGCGGCCGAGGCTAAGGCCAAGGCTGCCGAGAAGAAGAAGAAGGCTGCAGAGAAGAAGAAGGCCTCTGCGGCCGCAGGCAGGCCCGACGTGGCCCAGGACAAGCCCCTGTGCGCCGCCTTCCAGAAGTCCGGCAAGTGCGACAAGGGCGACAAGTGCGAGTTCAGGCACGCGCCCAAGGCCACCGCGAAGGCGGCTCCAGCCAGAGTGGCTCGCCATGCCGATGAGGCCGCTGGCGCTACTGGAGTCGCCATGCCGAGTGCCACCGATAACGACGCTGAGTGGGCCGTGGCCGACACGGGCGTTGGTGACGACCTACTCGGCGCCCAGACCGCGGTGCAGTTCGGCGACGCCCACCACAGGACCGACCTCCACCAGCTCGCCACTGCGAACGGGACCATCGCGCCCGACACCACCGCAGTTGTCGGCCTGGAGCGGCTCGGCGAGGACACTGAGGCAGTCGTCCTGCCAGGCAGAATCAACGCGCTGTCCATCGGCAGGCGTTGCGCCGAGTACGGGTACACGTTCACTTGGAATCCGTTCGAGGACAAGCCCGTGCGGCTCGCCCCTGACGGGACCCCCCTCGACGTGAGGGTTGACCACTACGTGCCCATGGTACGTCCAGGGTTCGCACGCCCCGAGGGAGAGCGACGCCAAGTCGCCTGCATGCCGGCCGCTGGGTCTTCGGAGCAGAGCCCCCCTCGAGCAGCTGATGCTGACCAAGCCCCCGAGGATGCTGAACAAGACTCTGAAGTGGTGGTCCCCGAGGTGGTGGCGGTGGCCCCCGAGACCGCAGGCCTGGGCGACGACATCTGGATCGCCGGCGACCCGTCCATCGTGGAGCACGTACCCTAGCACGAGAGCATCGGACCCAGCGGTGGTGCTCGTGCTTTCATTCGCGACCTGGAGGGCGGTCTGACAACTTACGACCAGCAGATCGACCCCGACGAGATCCCTCTCAAGTGCGGCGAGTGCCTGCCCGACGACGCCATGGACGCCACCTTCCGCAACGACCCGCTGTCGCGAGCTCACCCTGCAGCTCATCTTCCGCGCTGCCCGCCGGGAGTATGCCCCGGGTGCGACTTCGGCAAGACTGCGAAGAGCCGCAGCGGGAGGAGACCAGCACCAGCCATTGAGCTGCACGCGACGCCCGAGGAGCAGGGGGAGTTCGGCGCCCTTGCCCATGGACCACGTCGAGATGGAGCGCGGCAGCGACGCCCGCAGGGCCGCGCCCTACGCGCTCAACATCACCGATGAGGGCACGGGCTTGTTTTCGAGCTACCCGGCGGTCCGCCGCGACGCCAGCGCAGTGTTGGACAGCGTCAGGCGCTTCGAGGACACGCCCGAGAAGATCAAGCGCTGGTGGGGCGACCACGTTCCCGAGTTTCGCGCTGCCGCCAGGCAGATTCGCGAGCAGCGCACTCTAGCGCGCTACCGGTCGACGCCGTACCGGCCACAGGCCAACGGCAAGGCGGAGCGCATGAACCGCCTCAGCGTCGAGGGCACGCGTGCGCTGCTCCACCAGTCCGGCTTCTCCGAGAGCTGGTGGCCGCTGGCGATTCGAGCGTGGGCCACCGCCTACAACGCCACGCACGTCGGGAAGGACGGCCTCACGCCCTGGCAGCGCAGGTTTGGGAACGAGCACCATGCACCGTGTTCCCCTTCGGCGGCCTGGTGACCTACCGCCCGCCGGCCGGCTCCAAGACCACCAAGGCGGAGCTGAAGCACCTGGGCTCGACCAAATGGAAGAGCAGGCTCGTCCCCGCCGTCTTCGTGGGCGTCGCCGCCGGCCCCGGCGAGACTTGGGCAAAGTCTTACCTCGTGGTGCCCTTGGCTGCGATCATGGACGACGGCCGCGCTTCGCGCGTCAGCGTGCGCACGGTGACCGACGTGGTCTTCCCCGACCAGCCCGCGTTCCCGCTCAAGCAGCGCTTGATGGCCCACGGCGCTTTCGAGGACCTGAACCTCCCAGCGCCGATCGCCTCCGACGACATCGGAGCCCCGGGTGAGCTCATCGTCACGGAGGACGCCTGCGAGGACGACGCCGAGCGGTACGACCTCACCTTCGACGGCGACCTGTCCGAGAATGCCCCGCACTACTCGCGGAAGAAGCGCGTGATGGACATCATGATGGCCCTCGACCCGGACTCCCCTACCGTGCCGGTCTCGCCGGTGCCGGAGCTAGCCGCCGAGCCGGCCCCGGAGGCCTCTGCTCCGCCGCCTCGCGGAAGCGGACGCCGGCCGCTGCCGCCCATCGACGCTCCGCTGAGCATCAAGGCGACCTTGCAGTGGAACAACCGGGTGCTCGACGTCGCGTGCCCGGATGCTGGTGGTCTCCGTGCTGACGCAGTCCGCGCGCAGGTCGCAGCTTCGCCCCACGTGGGTTTGGACCCGCAGGAGCTCGTCGTGAACCGCCTGAGTCGGCACGCCTGGGTCCCCGTGAAGACCAGCTACGTCTTTCGGCCTGGCTCCCTGTGCCTGGTCGAGTTGAAGGCGGGCGCTGCCCCCCCGACTCCGGCCGACGACCCCAAGGAAGACTTTTGGGAGCGGGAGGATGGCCTGTGGCACCGGGTCCACGTAGTCCCGCGCGTGGCCATGTTCACCCCGATCGACGTTGATGGAGCTCCCGACGCAGACGAGCTCGGAGGATGGCGATTGACTAAGGTGGACTACCACAACGGCCAGTCCGACCTCATAGAAGACGATTGGCTTCGGGATCCGAGCCCTCATCGTCCACTCCATGCCCGATGGACTGGCAGGACCACTTTCGGCCCCAAGGACCAGGAGGAGATCGACGCGGAGGGGGGCAATTTCCTCGGATCTCTGGCGCCTCCCCCAGCGCCCGTGGATGCAGACCTTGCTGAGCTTGCACAGCCGGCGCCTGTCGCTGCCATCGACGCCGAGGTGGTCCCTGGACCAGATCGCGCTCCCCCGGCCGGCTGGGGGCGAGACGACTTCGGCGCGGACGGCGTCGTCCGCGGATCTGTCTGGGCGCCGCCGTGGTCCACCCGCCCGCCGGCCTTCGAGCCCGAGGTATGGATGTCCCTGAATGCGGCCAACCGGTTAGCTGCCAGGAACGCTTGGAAAGCCGACGACCCTGTCGGCTCCGCGGCCCAGGAAGCTAGGCGGAAGGCCTGGGCAGAGCACAAGTCCAAGAAGGCCAAGCCCGCAGGTCCTGCGCCTCGCGTGCTCTGCAGCTGCACTGGCTTCGTCGGTGGCGACCTCGAGTCTGACTACGTTGGCGCCCCTGGCGCCAGGCCGTCCATGCCTGCTCGCCGTTCCGTTGAGGCTGCCCTTCCTCCACAAGGGCCCGCGGCGCCCGCTGACCCCAGCGACGCCGGCAGGGTGCTCGCCCCGAAGTCCAAGGGCCAGCTGTGCCAGCAGGCGTTTCCTGCGATCTTGAGTGGCGACTTTGACGAGTTGTTCATCGAGCTTTGTTGCACGGAGAACTCCAAGCTCTCGGAGCACGCCCCGAGGCGCACCCTGGCGACCCGAGTGACCACCGACCTCGATTTCACGGACACCGCCGTCCTCAAGCACCTAAAGCACTTGGCCAGATCGGCACGCAAGCACAAGGTGCGGGTTGCGGTCTGGAGCGCTATCCCTTGCACGGCCGGTTGCCCGTGGAAGCACGTCAACGAGTCCAAGGGCATCAAGGCTGGCGACCCCGAGCTCACCGAGAAGTTGATCTCGCACGGAGTGGCGCTTTGCAGGCACGTCCGCAACATGGGCCAGCTTTTGTTTGGGAATGGCCGACCACTTCCGACCTGTGGGCGCACCCTGCAGTTCAGGCGCTGCGCCATGGGGCTGACGAGGGCGACGGCTTCATCGCCCACTAGCAAGGTGGTGTGGACTCGAAAGAAGTGGTGTATCTACTCCACCGACGCGCACGTCCGCACGGCGTTCAGCGCGTTCACCTCCGACCCGCACGAGGACCAGAAGGAGTTCGTGTGGTGCCGGGGTAAGTTCGCCAAGGAATCCGCCATCTACACGGACACGTTCGCGCGAACTTTCTGGCTTGCCAGGGGCGTGGTAAGTCGACCGGCCGCGCCAGGTCCGAGGTTCAGGAGCTTCTTCAAGGGCTGCGCCCCCGAGGCCTCTGGCGCCGACCACCGTGGCCACGACGCCTCGGCGCCGCCTTCGAGGCCATTCTGGTGCGCCATGGTCACGCGAGTCGTGAAACCCAGGGGCCCCGAGGCCAATTGCGACGAAGCCCGCGCCGCCATCGCCAAAGAGAGGTCCAGAATGCATGACAAAGGAGTGTGGGATGAGAGCGATGTGCACTCCTTGAGGGACCTCCTCCGCGACCCGAAGTTGGCTGAGGCCATGTTTGGCCGGGTCTTCGCGATCTTGGGGATCAAGGGCGAAGAGCTCAGCAAGGAGCACCAGCAGTTGAAGGCCCGCGCGGTCTTCCAGGGGTCCAACGTCCGGACCAAAACCGGGAGCTCGGCCGCGGAACTCTTCGAAGAGGTCGCCGACGCTCCTGCCTCTTTCGCCGCGGGTCGCGCGGCGATTGCCGCTGGAGTCCTCAAGGGTTTCGACAACAAGCTCCGTGATGCGGAGTCGGCCTACCTGCAGGCGCCCATCGACTCGACGAGCCGGGTGCCGACCTTCGTCGAGTTGCCCGAGGCGCGGTGGCCGGACTCCTGGTGCTTCGACGGCAGCGCCCGCAAGAAGCCGAAGTACACCAGGCCGCATTGCAGGCTCATCAAGGCCCTCTACGGCCACCCTGAGGCCGGCGCGCTCTGGGAGGCGAAACTCGACTCCATCTTGCGCCAGCTTGGATGGGCACCAGCCGGAAAGGAGTTCCCAGGCGTGTACATCCACAGCGGTGTTCTTGAGGCATCTGGCCCTACTTCTTCGGCGCGCTCTGCGACTGGAGCCATCCTCATTGTCTACGTGGTCGACCTCCTGATGGTTTCCCCCCGGGGGCCACCAGGCGACTTTGGGGGGAGCTGGAGAAGCACGTGTCGTTCAAGGAGCCGGAGGCGGACCTTGACAGGTACGTGGGGGCGCATTACGACACCCCCCAGTACGATTCCAGGCGCCCGCACGCGCCGCGCCCGCTCGTCACGAACATGAGCGACTACGTGAAGAACGCCGTCAAGAAGTTCGTGGAGGACGTGGCCAGGACCGCGCCCCAGATGCGCCTCGGCAAGGTGACCAGCCCTTTCGTGTCGCCCGAGCAGTGGGCGGACCCTGGTGCCATGCCGGGAGCCTTTGCGACGACCGCCGCAAGCTATGTCGCCACTGTGTTTTTCCTCAGCCGGGTGGCGCGACCTGACATCTCGGTCGCGGTGCAGCGGTTGTGCCCGCATGTGACCAAGTGGTCAACCACCCACGACGTCGCGGTCGTGAGGCTGTACAGCTACCTGCACAGCACCGGCAACGTCGCCCTCGTCGCACTCTTGAGCCGGGACGACTCCGAGGAGCTCCGATGCGGATTGGGCCGGCGACGCGGAGACGACGCGCTCCACCAGCGGCCTCTTCCTCGAGCTCTTCGCGCCGACTTCTGAGCATAGTTGGCCTCTGAGCTGGGCCAGCCAGACACAGACGGCGACGTCTTCGGCGACCGCGGAGTCCGAGACGCTGGCGATGTCCAAGAACGTCCGCATGGACGCGCTCCCCATGGCCGACATGCTGGCCAAGATGGGCGCGAAAACGAACATCGTCGTGCTGGTGGACAACACGCAGGCCATTGCGGCCGTTGAGCGCGGATATTCCAAGAAGCTCCGGCACTTGGAGCGCGCTCACAAGTGCGCGATCTCCGTCGTCCACGAGCTCTGGAAGGACGGCGAGATCGAGGTCGAGCACCGCCCGACGGCAACCCACAAGGGCGACGGGTTCACCATGGCGCTGCTGCCGGCCAAGTTCATTCAGGCCCGGGAGCTCATGAACATCAGGATCGGCAACATCACCATCGAAAGCCTTGTGAAATGACCCGTGTCCTCGAGCGGAGCTGATGCAGTTTGGTAGTATTTTAATTGTTCTGCATTTTGCACTTCGAGCTTGTGTTTTGCACTGATGACGTTGGCGCTTAGCGAGGGGGGTGTGCAAAATAGGTGGTGGATGCCCCTGCTCCGCCGCCGGTAAACCTCTATATGACGCTAGCGCACCAACTATTTTCTCCGAGCGGGGACTCCGAGCCGGAGGTCATCCCAGGGCATACATACGGTTTGGTCGGGCCTCTCTGGCACGGGGGATCCGCCCCTTCAGCAGAGTGGCCGCCCGCTCCATTGCACGCCAACTTTCCCCTCCTTTCCTCGTCTCCCTCTGTTTTTGGCGGGGGCCAGACATTGGGCTTCCGCCACTCCGGACCGCCCGTCCCCAGAGATTCCGAGCTAGCGCTGTTGCTTGTGGTAGATTGTTGGAAGACCTTTATCCCACAAAGTGGGATCACGCATGTTGACGCTTGCGCCGCCATGTGTCTCGAGATCCTTGGAGGCTTAGCGGCAACGCCGCATCCAGGGATGGATTGGCTCAAGGCTCAAGGCGAGCCGATCGGGCAACATTTTGTCTCACACGCTTGCCGTACGCACTGTTGGGGCGCCAGTGCGCACAGTTGTTCTATCTTGTCACAAACACAAACTCTAGGTCGGCAGCTTCAGGGCAACTTTCGCCGTGACGCTGCACTTTGGTCATGTGTCTCAAGATCTCTGGAGGCTTAGCGGCGACGCCGCCTCCAGGGATGGGTTGCAATGTAATTCGCACTCTAGGTTTGCAGCTTCAGGCCAACTTTCGCCGTGATGCTGCGCTCTTGGCTCAAGACCCAAGATGCGGAGCCCTGAGAAAAAGGACTCTTCCGTCCCTGCCGTGGTTAAGCGAAGGAGCGAGTCTCAGCGGCGACGCCAGCTCCTCCGCCGCCTGGCCACGTCAGCGGACACCCTCCTCCGGCTGCGCCTCGGCCTGCCGCAAAACCCTGACATACAACATAGCCATCCCTTCAGCCCTACCAAGACCCAGAAGCTCCTCACGATACTGGCCTCCCGGGTCCCCTTGGAGGCCATTGTAGCTGACCATGGCGAGTAGCTCATCAGCGCCTCTGCCTCTCCCAGCTCCGCCGCAACCGCAGAGCGAGACCCAGCCCATGACCACACAGGCGATACCCAGTAGACCCGGTCAGGCTGCTGAAGGTGTCCCAGTTGGGCCGGGCGGTGTCCCGGGTGTCCCGGGTGTCCCGGGCGTCCCGGCGCTAACGCATGTCGCTAATTTCATAATTCATTTGTTTCGGCGCTTGCGGCGGGCTTTTTATCCAATCCAGCTTATCTGATTTGATCACAATCTCCCCCGACCTCCTTATCGCCCGCAGGGCGGTCGTATAGGTATCGTGACGTCGGATGTTTGGGGAGGGCGAAAGGCAGGGCGCGCATGACGGATGCTGAGGCGGCAGAAACGACGACGGCGGGGACGGGGAGGCGGAGGCAGAGGCGCAGCAGCGGGAGGCGGGAGGCGGGAGGAGGGAGGAGGGACGAGGAGCCAGGTGGGAAGCGGGAAGAGAGAGGCGGGAGAAGGAATGAGAGAGGTTGTGATTGGAACCCCTGTGCTACGAAACGTCTCAGGCAGAACGGTCCAGACCATCTCGCGCGCAACATCTTTGAGCTTCGCATTGTGAGGATGGCTCAAGCGAAACGGGCCGGACCACCTAGCGAGCGACATTTGGGAGCTCAGTATTGGAAGGATGTCTCAAACGAACCGGGCCAGACAACCTCTCGCACACGTTCTGACAAGTCCACGTCACACTCGCTTCCCGTTAGGTCCTCTCCTGCAACTCCCTTCCTTCTCCCTCCTCTTCCTCCTCCCCCTCCTCCTGCCTGCTCCCTCATCCACATCATCCTCCTCCTTTTCCATTCCATCTCCTCCTCCTTTTCCTCCTCCTCCTCCACCTCCTCTTCATCCCGAACGGCATCTCGGAACCCAGAGTTGCGAGGTGTCTCCAGCGTAACAGGCTGGACCACCTCGCGCGCGGCATCTCGGACCCCAGAGTTACGATGATATCTCGGGCGAAACGTGCTGCGAGGAAGTCTCAGGCGAAATGGGCCGGACCACCTCGAGCGCGGCGTCTCAGAGCTCCGAGTTGCGGAGGCGTCCTGGGGCCTCCTGGGGGCCTCCTGGGGCCTCTTGGGGAACTCCTGGGGCTTCCTCCTGGGCCTCCTGTGGCCTCCTGGACCCCACCTGAGGCTTCCTGAAGCCTCTTGGGGCTCCCAGGGGGGGATATCTAACATGTGGCCGTCCGGGCCCCCCAAAATGGGGGGGGGGGGGGGGGCACAAGAGCAGGAAAAATCAACGAATCGGCACCGGATGTGTATTAACTTGACACGTTCTGAAAGGGGCCTCCTGGGGCCTCTTGGGAGCCTCCTGGGAGTCTCCTGGGTACCCCTGGGGCCTGTCCTGGGCGTCCTGCGGCCTCCTGAAGCTCTCTGGGGCCTCCTGGGGCTCCCAGGGTCCCAGGGGGGATATGTAACATGTGGTCTTCTGGGCCCCCAGGCTGGACCACCTCTTGCGCGGCATCTGGGTGCGGGTACGGGGACAGAGGAAAACGTGCTGCGAGGAAGTCTCAGGCGAAATGGGCCGGACCACCTCGAGCGCGGCGTCTCAGAGCTCCGAGTTGCGGAGGCCTCCTGGGGCCTCTCGGGGCCTCCTGGGGACCTCCTGGGGCTTCCTCCTGGGCCTCCTGTGGCCTCCTGGACCCCACCTGGGGCTTCTTGAAGCCTCTTGGGGTTCCCAGGGGGGGATATCTAACATGTGGCCGTCCGGGCCCCCCAAAATGGGGGGGGGGCACAAGAGCAGGAAAAATCAACGAATCGGCACCGGATGTGTATTAACTTGACACGTTCTGAAAGGGGGCCTCCTGGGGCCTCCTGGGAGCCTCCTGGGAGTCTCCTGGGGCCCCTGTCCTGGGCGTCCTGCGGCCTCCTGAAGCTCTCTGGGGCCTCCTGGGGCTCCCAGGGTCCCAGGGGGGATCTGCAACATGTGGTCTTCTGGGCCCCCCTGGCTGGACCACCTCTTGCGCGGCATCTGGGAGTTCAGAGTTGCGAGAATGTCTTGTGCGAAACAGGCCGGACCACCTTGCGCACGGCATCTCAGAGATCAGAGTTGCGAGGATGTCTCAGGCGAAACCGGCCGGACCACCTCGCGCAGGGCATCTCAGAGCTCAGAGTTTGGAGGATGTCTCAGGCGAAACGGGCTGGACCACGTCGCGCGCGGCATCTCCGAGGTCAGAGTTGCGAGGATGTCTCAGGCGAAATGGGCTGGACCACCTTGCGCACGGCAGCTCAGGGCTCAGAGTTTGGAGGATGTCTCAGGCGAAACGCGCCAGACCACCTCGCGCGCGGCATCTCAGAGCTCAGAGTTGCGAGGACGTCTCAGACGAAACGGGCCAGACCACTTCTTGCGCGGCATCTCGGAATGCAAAAGTGCGAGGATGTCTCAAGCGATGCGGGTCAGACTACCTCTTGGGCGGCATCTCGGGGCTCAGAGTTTGGAGGATGTCTCAAGCGAAACGTGCCGGACCATCTCTCGCGCGGCATCTGGTTGCTCACAGTTGCGAGAATGTCTCAGGCGAAACGGGCTGGACCACGTCGGTCGCGGCAGTTCAGGGCTCAGTCAGAGTTTGGAGGATGTTGTAGGCGAAACGGCCTGGACCACGTCTTGCACGACATCTCGGAGCCCAGAGTTTTGAGGATGTCTCAGGCGAAATGGGCTGTACCACCTCTTGCGCGGCATCTCAGAGATCAGAGTTGCGAGGATGTCTCAGGCGAAACGCGCCGGACCACCTCGCGCACGGCATCTGGAAGCTGAGAGTTTGGAGGATGTCTCAAGCGAAACAGGCCAGACCACCTCTCGCGCGGCATCTGGAAGCTCAGAGTTTCGAGGATGTCTCAGGCGAAACGGGCCGGACCACCTCTTGCGGCGCATTTGGGAATTTAGAGTTTGGAGGATGTCTCGCGCGAAACGCCCAATCCCGGACAACTCAGAACTTAGAGGTGTGAGGATGCCTCAGGCGAAACGGCTTGGGCCTCAATTTCTGTCCCAACACTCCTATGGTTGGATATTCGTTTTGAATAGGGCAGTGTGGTCGCCCCGTCCTTCTCCTCCTCCCCCCTCCTCCCCTCCTCCTCTCCTGTTTCCTGTGTTCCCCTCTCCTCTTCTCTCGTGCCGTCGGGCTGCGATCTGCGCAACTGTCCCCACTTTCGTGGGCTCCTGGGAGGCCCAGCGGAGGTGGGTCCCACGCGGACCACCTCGAGACCTCGCGTTGCCCTGGGGGCTGCGATCTGCGCAACTGTCGCCACTTTCGTGGGCTCCTGGGATGCCCAGCGGAGGTGGGTCCCACGCGGACCACCTCGAGACCTCGCGGTGCCCTGGGGGCTGCGATCTGCGCAACAGTCGCCACTTTCGTGGGCTCCTGGGAGGCCCAGCGGAGGTGGGTCCCACGCGGACCACCTCGAGACCTCGCGGTGCCCTCGGGGCTGCGATCTGCGCAACAGTCGCCACTTTCGTGGGCTCCTGGGAGGCCCAGCGGAAGTACGTCCCACGCGGACCACCTCGAGACCTCGCGGCGCCTTGGGGGCTGCGATCTGCGCAATTGTCGCCGCTTTCGTGGGCTCCTGGGAGGTCCAGCGGAGATACGCCCCACGCGGACCACCTCGAGACCTCGCGGCGCCCTGGGGGGCTGCGATCTGCGCAACTGTCGCCACTTTCGTTGGCTCCTGGGAGGCCCAGCGGAAGTACGTCCCACGCGGACCACCTCGAGACCTCGCGGTGCCCTGGGGGCTGCGATCTGCGCAACTGTCGCCATTTTCGTGGGTTCCTGGGAGGCCCAGCGGAGGTGGGTCCCACGCGGACCACCTCGAGACCTCGCGTTGCCCTGGGGGCTGCGATCTGCGCAACTGTCGCCACTTTCGTG